TGAGCTTGGACTTCGCAAATTCAGTAGTGCTCAAATGTGCACAGCCAGCCAGGACACTGGAGATCATAGCAAGCCCCACTGAAACAGTCACAGCAAAGTCCTTTAGAGTTTTAGCATTTTTTTTTTTTTTTTTTTTGATTAAAATTTGTTAACTAGTTTTTTTGGGGGGAGCGCTATTGTGTATTAAACGATAACTGGCATTTTTCCTCTCTCCAGATAGTATGAGTTTCATATGGTTTCTTTCTACCATTTTCTTAACATTAGTGACAAGTTTATTCAAGGGATGAGAATTATGAATAGCCAACTGGGAACTGAGAGTAAGGAATTCTGCCTTTCGCAGTATATTGACACTAAAGGTTGATAGAGTCATATTCTGGTAGCCATATGAGAGCCTTATAGCCTTTCAATGTCTAATTTAACAGGATAATTATAGTAGATGGATGTCAAGAACCGCTAAGAGCAACATCTTAGCATAGAACCTATAATAAGTGCAGGTAAAGAGGTGCATTTGTTCTGTGGGTTTAGGAGAGCTTAGATGGAACCTGGTCATGGCTTTCACACATTGTTAAGGAGTTTTACTTTTAAACATAGTATCAAGAGACAAAAATAATGGTCCTGACCTCATACAACTTGGCATTTAATACTTAGATAAACAAGAGTTTAAATAAGGAGTTACAGTCTTTAATTATATCATGCCAGGAGTGGGTGTTTTACCATTATCTGCACAGTATCCAGCCATGGACAGCAAGGATGGATTGTGTGGATGCATTGAGACTGCAGAGAAAAGGCCATTTGGAAAATAGAATATGATCCATCTCTGGATAACCAATTAAGATATTCTTAGTGATTGAGAAATAGAGTATATGTGGTATTTATATGTATATTTCAAATGGCTTTCCGGATACTTAAAAAGGGAACAAAAAAGTTTTATAAGATAAACTGTAAAATTTGACACACAAAGATTACATTTTATATACCATAAAGTTCCTTTTATCTAATACTAATACCGTATTTTTTCTTTTTGGTTAGCATTTGCCTGGAATTTTTTTTCCACCATCAGCCTTTTTGTTGTTATGTTTTAAGCAAGTCTTGTAAAAAGCACATAGCAAGAAGTAATTATTTTAACGGATACATTTAGTCCATTTGTATTTATTGGAATCACTAACACATTTGCCCTGATTGTGGATTACGTGTGGATGTGTGGGGTAGGGTGAGTGTACCTGACTAAAAGAACATAAATGGTAGATTGTTTTTAGATTATTTTGATCCCCTCATGCATATGTATACATTACCTTAAAAATCTGTTATAGAAATCTGGTATTATCTTCTGTATCAGCATCTAGCTTCCCCAAGCCTCTTGACAACTTTTGTGGTTTCTTTATTTCTTGAAAACAAGTTGCTAGCCTGTCATGAAATCTCTGGGAAGGGCTAGAAACCACCTGTGTTTCTAGAATTCAGCCCTTGTCCTCTGCTTACAGAGTATGGTCTTGGCCTGGTGGAACCCAATCCTGAGCTACCTGTCAGGTGTCTGGTTTCCGTGTCAGCCTCTAGGTACAGTCTTGCCTTGTTGCTCTTACAGAACCTCTCACTGAGACAGCCTTCCTAGCTGACTACCTAACCCGCTCAGCTTACTTAACTGCTCTTCCTCTTTGCCCAAGATCCTTTCATCAGTGCTGAATGTATAATCGTAGGGGAACATAATCTGTTTTTAACTCATATGTAGACAATATAAAACTGTAGTGCAACCATATTAACCACTGAACAGAAAAAGCATAGCATGTGGTGAGAGAGAGAGAGACCAAAGGAGAAAACATGGTTAGAGAATAAGGAAAGACAGAGTAGCTAATGCCAGTGAGGCAAGATTGTTGATGCCCATCCACAGTCCCTTTTATCCTACTGAGATTTCGTGGGTACATAAACAGGTAGGGGAGTCAGTCTTTCCCCCAGCAGAATCCCCTGGATAGGTAGTTGATTAGATTTAAATACTTCCGTAAGGAAAATTGCCTATTATTAAGTGGGGGAAAAGATAACAAAGCCTGGAAGATATACTAGAGGAGTTTCTCAGAGTGGACATCTTCTACAGAACTGATGGTACTGATTTTCTATTTTATAGTAGCTATGTAAAATTTTTAACAATTTTATTCAACTTAAAAAACAAGTGACACAACTTAATGAAAAATATTAATAATATAAATGATAGTACAAGGTGAAAGTAATGCCATGAAAGCAATGTACAAAAGACTGAACTTGGAAAACACCACTGTCAAGGGTGGTACCACAGATCAGGATTGGGAATCCTGGGGTTGAGATTTTGTCTGTGGCACGTATATGGAGAGACTTTCCAGTCTTTCTGTCTTCTCATCTCTCTTCACAATGATGCAGGGAGGCATTAGCTTTCTTCCAGAGAGACAAGCCATTACCTCTACCTTAGGTGTATGTCTCTGAAGCTATTTGTTTTTTTCTGCCATAAACTGTTACTATAACACTTCGAATGCTTAGCATAGAACCTGGCACCTATTACATACTTGATAACTGTTTTTTTGTTACTTATATTTATTAGTTATTGTCATTATCACTTTACTTTTCCCCTCTAAATGGGCAACAAGGAATAATTTTATGTTCTTACTCATTTATCTTTTTAACAAAATCTGATAGTGGGATTAAAATAGGGTTCTATGGCAGGTGTACAATGTGTACTTTTGCTAACTATGTTTAGCATTTGAATATATTCAAATCTTACTTGATTTGATGAATTTGTGCTGCTCAGTGAGCTAATATAGTATGTGACTTACCACTTCTCAGTGTTACTGTTATGAAAGGATGCAGGCATATGGCAAATTTTAGCTACAATAAGGTGTGGTACATCTTTGGGAGGATAATCTGTATGATGGAGAAGATCTAATGCTTCATAAATATCACATGATGAGAATTAAAAGCCATGAGTATTTAGACTGGAGAATAATGAGAGTGCATTTTAAAACTCCAAAGCATCCCCTTGTATTTTAGATGGTGGCATCTCTTCTCCTTCTGCTTTTTTTTCTTGTTTCTAATATCTAGAACAATATTGCAGTGAGATGGTACACATCCAGAAGATATATCTCTTAATGCCTACAAGAGGCCGTGTGGTTGCATCTTGTTGCAAGTATCAAAACATGGAAGGGGAAGGAAACCCTTGGCCATCACTGGAGAAGTCATTCTCAGCTGCTCCCACATAGGGAATATATTTTGAGGATTCTGATCTGTGTATGAAAGGGATGTAAGGCTTGTCCCCAAACTTACCAGAATATGTACTATGACATAGGCGAGATATAAATTCAAGAGGCTCTCTGTCCTTCTAGGCCAGCCCAACTCTGAGTGAGACTGTGCAACACTAGGCTGGATGTGTGAGTTCCCTCGGTCAGCATCTAATCCGACCTGCTGTAGTTCAGGTCTTAGAGGCAGTCCTGGTCTTCATGTGGAGGGAAAGCTCTACCTCGGATCTGTGGATGTCTTGACCTGTCTCCATTCTTTAAATTCATCTGACTACTGGTTGGAATGTTCTTGTATATTCTGTAATGGTATCTTCATTTAGTCTTCTTACTCAAATCTGTATGTAGCCAAAAATTGGCTCTAACTCAGTCATCTATTACAATAGTATAATAGTGTAAGGTATTGGGCTTATCAGGCAACATTTTTGTGTATTTTAAGGAAACAGAGTAGGATGCTTCCTTGTAATGAGTGCATATGATATTGAACAGAGATCAGTATTTTTCACAAGTGAAAACTGTCATTGCCTAGCAATTAAGGAAACAGAATCACAGAAATTTACCACAGAATTAGATCAGTTTTAATCAATGATTACCCAGAAACATATCTACAGCAAAACTTCAAGTACCTAATACCATGAACCCTCACAATCTTAAAGTGTTCAAAAACCACTGTGGAGTCAGATAAAGTAAACAGATAAAGATTTATGCCTGCAGTTGTGAAAACACAACTTGACTAATGAGGCTTGAGTAATAATCACCTAAAACAGAAGTCCCCAACCCCTGGGCCGTGGATTGGTACTGGTCTGTGGTCTGTTAGGAACTAGGCCGCACAGCAGGAAGTGAGTGGCAGCCTAGCAAGCGAAACTTCATCTATTTGCAGCCACTCCCCAGCACTAGTATCACCTCCTCAGCAACACCTCAGATCATCCTGCATTAGATTCTTGTAGGACCACCAGTCCCTGGTGCCAAAAAGGTTGGGGACTGCTGACCTAAAAGACTACAAGATGGTAGGCTTTCTCTAAGAAGCTCTTGAAAGTGTAAGTCAATATAAGAATATTTAAGTAGAGCTTATTAAAATAAGAGGATGTTTTGAATTTGCTAAGAAGTGTGTGACTCAGAATGCAGTCACACAAAGGCAAATAATTTACAGCATTCTAGAAAATAGAAAGTTTCTCGAGGACTACTTTAATCATTTATTTTGAAGAAAAGGCATAAGATACCATCTGGAAGGATTATAACTGCACAGTATTCTTTCTAACCATATGAGTAAGGCAAATGGACAGGTATTATTAATAAAGCAAGTTCCAGAATACAGATATCCTTGGATCAGCACAAAGGCTGACTGGCTTTCTATATCTTCTAATTCTTTGGCAAATTTCTGAGTTTAATGCTGATGGTGGAATTGAATCATCAAGAAAAGCATCAACTATGTTCAGTACGTAGAATTTGCTAAAGCAGGAACCTGTGCATTACATTTTAGAACTTCTATTGATACAACATTTGGTAACCCAATACCTCTTTTGCCTGCTGGGTTCCAGAATGCTGTATTATTCTTAATAAACAGTTGCCCTGGTTGAAAACAGAATGATGATCAATGCAGTCAACAGAAGACAGATGACGGTTTTATAAATAAAGAGTTGTTTGTATTTTCTGTAAATAGTTTAAGGATTTGCTAGTATCTTTTCCTTATTCAACTAATGCTCATTAGACACTAATTATATGTGTCAGTGTTTAAAATATTTGCTGTGTCTTTAGAGCCATCTCTTCTGCAGAATAAGAAATTGGAGAGAGGCAATCTCATATTCTAGATCAGTTAACAAGCTTTTTTGTTTGTTTATCATTAAGATTTAAGCCACAAGGAAATATATTATTTAATTATATTGACATTTATAAACTGAGAAATCAACAGGAAAAACGTAAATAATTTAGATTTTGGAAAACTTTAAATTAAAATAGAAGCTTGGACTCATATTCAGCTATCACATATGTTTTAGGCAAGTTATTTAGTCCTGGTAGCATTTAGCTTGGAGCCATTTTAACCTGTGCCTAGTAGTTGCTCGGATTATAGCGAATGACTGTTTTTGAAGCTGTAATGTCACTAAATCATCATGAGGAAGCATGGTTCCTATAAGTCTACATATAAGTGAACTTTGACTCTGAACTACCAGTTCATGCCTGTAATTCCTGAATTCCTGTTTGATTTAGCATGGAAATCATTTGTAGCTCAAATTTTCTCTTTGCACTCATTTTCTTTTTTGGCTTTGGTGTTAAATAGAGTTTTAGGGAACAGTAAGCATAAAAGGAGGTGCACTCTACTCAAAGCCTGATGAAATCTCATTTCCTCATAATGAATTAACTGGAAAAATTTCCTTCTGTCTAATATTACATTAAGTTTCATGATGATTGAGGAAAGTTGTTAAGGATGGGTAGGAATAGAGCAATGAGAGTCTGACTAGATAAAGGAATGTATGAAGACATTTTATTTTACTTTATTTTATTTATTTTTTTTTTAACACCTACAGCACCCAATATTCCCAGGTGGTCTCCCATCCAAGTACTAACCAGGCCCGATCCTACTTAGCTTCCGAGATCAGACAAGATCGGGCACATTCAGGGTGGCATGGCTCAGGTTAAGACATTTTAAATAGTTGATGTACTATAAGTACTATTTAGTTCTACTTCAAAAACTGATCAAGGCCCAAAAAGTTTTTTAATGAGTGCTATATTATGAGTAAAAATCGAGATATATGTAATTATTAGGGGAGAGTGACCAAAAGAAAAAACTATCATCATAGAAGAAGGGACTAGAAAAAACAATGCTACCAGAGTTCTATCAGATCAAGAACTCCAAAGAAATATAACTCTTACTAGATATAACCTTGAATATTTCTCTTGAGTTCTCAATGTTGTAAAATTTGACTTGTTCTTGAAGAATCATATAGATGCTTAAACCCCTGGATGACCTTTTGGAAGCACCTGTATGTGGAAACATTTTGCAGACTTGAGTTATAGCTAGAGAGAGAGATTCAAACATTTTTGGTCTTTATAATAAATAATTATTTTTCCTCTGATTACAGCATCTTCACAACTATTTCACAGTAACCCTTGGAATTCCTGCTTGGTGTTCTTACGCCATTTTCGTCATAGCCACCTTGATTTTTGGCCTTCTCATGGGTCTGGTAAGATATAATACCAATCTTTTTTCATGTCTTTAAAGCCAGGTGGGTTTCATGCAAAACTAGAAAGCACCAAAAAAGAAAAAGCACATAAACAAACATCATTGTGTGTATAATCTAAGCAATTAAAGAGCACTTGCTTGTTTGATAAGACTTTCAGTGGCGATTTGAGATATAATGGAAAATTCATTAAATTATTATCTCCTTATCTATCCCTTAAATATTTCGAAGATATGTGCTCCCCAAAATGTAGGCAATGATGAAAGATACAGAGACTTTACTTAAATTAATAGTCTGCAATACAACTGAGTCATCTATGGTTTCACACATTGCCTATTTGATTAGAACACTGTGGTGATAAGGCCATATCTGTGAATTTGTTCCTTGAGTGAGCATGATGATTTTTTTGTTGTTGTTCTTATCCTACAATTGAACCTCTAATCCTGGCCAGCTGCTTATACATACACTCTGGTTTTCTCAAGGCGAATTTTATAATTCAGTATTGTGGGGAAAATAAAAGATGCAGAGCACAACACTGTGTCTTCTTTGGATGTGACCATTGGTACCTAGTAGGTATCCGTTCATTTTCTCCCTAGGTGTTTTAGGTGGGAGTTGGAATAATAAATTTATTTACTTAACTGTATAGCCAACTATAAGTGTTTTGGCATGTTTTACTCTTTGATATAGTTTTTAAGCTTTCTCTTTACCTGCAATTGATCAATTTGATTGAACTTTAAACTAATTAAGTTAATTCATAAAAGCCATTATACTGCATATTAATCACATAGCTTCTAAAAGCTATATGATAGGAATTGACGATTACTAAAAATTTATATAAAAAAATACAAACTATTAGTTAAGATTATCTTAAAAGTCTGTCTTTACATTTTATAGCGAATTTTGGCTCTTTAGCAATGTCTTTTTAAAAATAAACTTAAAATACTAGCAATTGCCTTTATAGTAAATATAACTTAGCAACAAGTCATATTCTAAGGAGCCAAGGAGGCTCAATTTTGTTTTGCCAGAAACATGCTTACTTCATATCATGGTTTATATTTGAGATTTGAATGCTAGTGTTAACTTCTCCGAGTGGAGGGTGGTGATATAGAACTTACAGATGTCTTTCATTAGGTGCTGGGTACGTTCTATCCTAATGCATTATTCTTATTGCTACATAACATGGCCCTAATGATCTGGTCTAAAAGGATTTGACTTTGGATATATATGTACTACTCCTACCTACTTCTTAGTGCTAGATTTTTCTGTATTCTGGAACCACATAAGTGTGAGGCTCTTCTAGGAGGAATAGTATGAGATCCTGGGAAATTCTGAGGTAGAGTTATGGAGAATGTAGGGTGAGTGTGAGCCTATTGGAAGACCACTGAAAACTTTTTTTTCTCAGCATAAAGAGTTTTAGAATGTTATCTTTGAGGATGACTTTAAGTCAAAGAAATCAAGTAAGCCCTGCCTATGCCCTAAGTTCATTTGGAAACTTAAATTCAAATAATCAGTGTAGGAAGGTTATTAAGTGGCTTGATGAAAAAAGAGAGTTGATTTTAGACTGTTCAAATGATTAGTGCTATAGAATATTATTCTTTTATAAGAAGTTACAAAGAGAACTTTAATAAAATAATAATTTCAAAATAGTAACAGACTCATAAATTTTTAATACATTTTCATAAACTAGCATACACGTTTCTGCTCAAAATGCCCTTTCTTCAATTGTAAATTGTGTTAAACACAAAACAGCTAGAATTTGTACCATCGGTGAAGTCTTCAGGTGTGCAGTTCAGTGCTCTATGTCACCTTTGCTATTAACTGGGAGCTGAAAGTAGAGCCCGGGCATGCAGTCATGTGAAGCTTGGTCCTGGTGACTTTGTAGGTTCTCCTTCCCACTTTGAGTTTATGGAATTTACCTATGCCTGGAGGGGCAGGATGTTTTCCATAGGGAAGTGATTTCCTGATGAAGTCATTGTTTCCTATAAGTCTGACTATTATATTTCCTAATTTTTCCTAATTTTAAAAGATGGGAAGTGAAAACAAGGCTCCTAGTTTGATTTTTGTTTACTTTCTTGATTGAACCTAGTGATGGTTGAAATATTTTACTAAATTGTTTTTCACATGTAAACAAAGGACTCAGTTTTAGAAACCAAATATATATTCTGTACTTTAAACCAATATGGGAAAGATCCTTAAATGCATAGTCTATATATCAAATCACTTTGGCAGCATCATTTCCTGCCATCAGTGATTCCGCTCTGAAGAATGGAAGACAGCACATCTCTAGAAAAGCAGAAAAGCAATGGCAAACACAGGCAGCACTTTTGCCTCTATTATCAGTTGGTACAGATACTGTCTAAATTTTGGTACTTAGGTTATTTGCTGCTGACCAGTGCCTAGCACAGAGCCTGCCACAGAGGAGGGTTTCCCAGTATTGGGAGGCATGTCATGCTCTATGAAAGACAATAAATCTCTCTGCTTTCCTAATTTAACTGTATGGCTATCTGCACCTGCTTGGGTAAAAGCTGAAACCTGAAAATATAACCCTGGAAGGGAGGTGAAGAGGAAGGTACCATTCCCTTTAGACCTTATTATTAAATAGTGCCGTTATAAGTGGATTAAAAAGTGGCCCATTCCAAGGGACTGGTTCTCTGGACCACAAAATAGATCTCGAACTGAGAGAATATGAGAGAATGAGAGGGTTTTACTCCCAGTTTCTGGAAAGAAAGACTGTGTAATGGAATTATATACTATTAGACATCAGATGGACCTCGACGATAGGCTAACCCAAACCTGTCCTTTGAAGAGAGAATACAAGTGAGAGAACTTGTCCAGGGTTACGCAGCTAATTGGAGACAAAGTTGAGGCTTAGTGCCCCACAAGTCTTTTCAGAGCCCCCTTACCCAGATCACCCAGGCGGATCACAAGTAGGACTTACTCCTGCTCCACCCCCCCATCTATTTTGAATGCCGGTATTTCTTGTCACTGGCAGGTGTTTCTTTCTTTTGCAATATGTCAGAACCAAAAATTTCCCCTCCCGTCAATAGCTAATAAGCACTTGACTATCATATTAAAAATGTAAGTTTTCAGGCTCATTCTTTTCATGTGGAAATGTTTTCCTCTTTGGTGTTCAGATCAATTTAGTGGCTTGGAGCTTGTTCCTCCCCAGCCTCCAGAAATTTGTGCATCCTGTTGCCCCACCACATGGGTCTCCAAAGCCTGACATTCTTAGCTTACTCTGGATACAAGAGGCCCTATGGTCCGATTTGCTGTAGCTTAGAGGAACCAGACCTCTGATGCTATCCAGCTTCTCCTGACTATGACCAGGGCCTTTATGCACCTTCTTCAAGCTGTCATTCTTGATTCTTCCTAATGCTATTGCTAGTTGCAATCTCTGTGTCTCTTAAGTATGTATCAAAATGCTTTATTCATTTTTCTTATAAAACTCATGTTCCATATTGCTTTATAATTAAACTGCCATTTTTTCTCTTTTTGAATCTTGCCCCCAATATTAACATACCTTGAACCTAATGAACTAAGTATTGAGTAAAGTAATATATGAAAATATAGATGATAATAATCTTGAACACAAAGTAAGATATTCACTTGATGTTTATAAAATTGAATCAAAAGGACTATGACTTTGAGTTCTTTAAAATTTTAGAGTTAGCTTTAAAACATTAATATATAAAGCACTATTCATATTTGTTGGTGAGGTGCAGGCCATGTACAGATGAGTTTTGTTTGTCCAGGAGAGAGTTTTTTAAAAGACCATTTTAGACTTGGTCAATAGTGTCTAAATTTCTTATACTTGTTTGGTTCATCTGTTTTTACTGGGTTATTTGTAGACATTTGACTTTGTGACCCCTGTTCTCAATTAATAGTATTTTCCCATATTTGTGTCACACTTAAAAAATAAGAAATTTTTAAAATTATATAGCCTTTTGTGAGGACTTTTGACCAACTGCTAATTATTTGTCTATGAATTTCTGGTTATAGAAGCAAGGTCTAATTTTGAAGTTCTTTGAAGTTCTGTAACAAATGTCTTATCTACTCACTTTAAAAATTACTATTTTTCTCCTCTAGGTCTTGGTGTTAATATCAGAATGTTTCTATATGCCATTTCCAAGGCATTTATCTGAAGGTTCTGGTAAGTACGATAAACTCATGTATAGAGTATTTTTGGAATTGTGTGGTGTGGCCTTTTGTGCTCATAGAGGCAGTGGATTTTCCCCCTCATTTGCTAGGTTAGCAAACCATCACAACTACCAGATTCCTTGAAATATGTTCTCCAGGTAGGCTTGAAGAAAAGTTTTATTTTCTTTTAAATTAGGGAATATTTTATTTTAGCAATTTGTTTTTACCTTTAAGTGTATGCCCTTCATTAATCAATTGACACCTTTTCCTTCATTCAGACTAGAATGAGAAGGGAGGAGGCAGGGGAACTCACATTTATTAAGTCTCTGCTGTGTACCAGTAACTATTCTAAGTCTTTTAAAATAAATCTGCCCCGATTTTCACTATTCCACATTGTTTCTGAGACCAAATAGCCCTAGATTTGCATGTTTTATTCCTATTTTTGAGACTTTGCATGAAATGTTTTATGAGACTTTGTAATTGTTGAATTCTATGTAGGAGTTTTAAATAACTTTATATTTCTTTTTAGTTTTTGAAGTTTTCAAGGCTTCAAGACTTCCATAGATACAGTTGTGCACCACTTAGGGATACATTCCGAGAAATGCATCATTAGGCGATTTTGTTGGTAGGCGCGATTTGGTCTTTGTGCAAACATCATAGTGTGAGTGCACTTATACAAACATAGATGGTATGGTCTACCACTGTAATTGTATCTGTTATTGCTTTTATACAACTGGCAGTACAGTAAGTTTTTTGACACCAGCATCACCACAAACACGTGAGTAGTGCATTGCATTGCTATGTTATGATAGCTACAATAGGAATTTCTCAACTCTGTTATAATCTTATGGGACCACTGTGGTATATGTGATACATTGTTGATCAAAACATCGTTATGTGGCACATGACTGTAGTTAGAAAGCATATTATGTTCCTTAAAATTTTTTAAAATAACAGAAACCCAATTTAAAGCAAATTAGTGGGGCCGGGGGTGAGGGAGGGGGGCTGGAATTTATTAGCTCACTAAACTGAAAAGTCCAGGGATGTTCTGGCTTAAAGCACAACCGAAGACATGTTAGATTTCTGTTTCTATGTGACTGGTTCAGTGGCTGTCGATAGCAGTAGCAATCCTGTAGAAAGACAGAAAGCTTTTCCTCCTGACTCTGGCCCAAAACTGCTGGGGAATACTCTGACTGGCTCAGCTTAAGTCACATGGTGAACAAATTACCATCACTGGTGAGTGGATCACTGAGCCTTCTACAAGGTACAAAATACAAAGCACGAAGGGACCTTTGCTCTCCCTGTCCACATGCTCTGCCAAAGTCAACATGGTTAGTGAAATCTCCAGAGAGGGATGGGAAGCCCGGGATGGGACTAGGACACCAACCAGACATCTGTCCTGTGTAATAATATAACTTCAAGATGGAGAAAACTGATACAGGCCCCTTTTCTCATTTCACTTAAACACAAGCACTTGATTGCTGAATGACCATGGTTTATTTAGAGAATATTCCTCTCTCTTCCTTCCACAGAGCAGAGTCGGAGGTCAGAGGAGGCTCATAGGGCTGAACTGTTACAGGATGCAGAGGAGGAAAAAGATGATTCAAATGAAGAAGAAAACAAGGACAGCCTTGGAGATGATGAGGAAGAGAAAGAAGATCTTGGTGATGACGATGAAGCAGAGGAGGAAGAAGAAGAAGACAGCCCAACCACGGGTGTGGATGAGGAGCAGAGTGACACCCAGGATCAGGGGTCCCCGAGGGAGGCCCAGGAGGAAGTAGAACCCGACGAGACTAAAGAAGACGTTCCTGAGCAGCCCCGTTCAACTGACACAGAGCTGGCAGAAGACACATTGAGGCAACGCAAAAGTCAGCATGCCGATCCGGGACCATAGATTCAATGACAGTGTTTCCAAGAATATAGACCAGAAGAATAAGTCAGTTTCCCTCTGGTCTGCAATTTAAACCAAATCATTATTTTTTTCCTGAGTGAGCAAGCTTCTTCTAAAAAATGATCTCTAGTCATGTAGTCTTATGGCTTTAAGCCTCATGTATATTGATGAGACTCTTTGAGGCATGACAATCAGAATACAGAAAAACAAATATGGTGTTAGGATCTATTTGGGGACTTGGGAGAAGCACAAGCTCATCTACTTGGGGCTAGAGAGTTTTGACCAGAGGAAGCAACCCCTAGCTCTCATGAGTACTATTCGTTGACAAGGCCGCAAGCCCCATAAAATGAAAGCAAAGCAGCTTGAGCATCCTCGAGAATAGCAGAAGTCTTGCTGCTTCTTGTGTTAAATATTTATTTTTATCAAACTGTAAGAAACATCAGTCACCATAGTACAGGGACACATTTTTAGAGGTAGAAATTGAGAGGGCCTGGATATTATTGAAGAAAAGAGCTTAGAATTCATCCTGACTCTTAAATCTCCTTTGTTATGTTTCATTTCTTAACATTTCCAACTTTTCCCAGCATAGGCCTGCAGGCTCCCCACACTCTTCACAGTATTTCCTTAGTGAGCAGACAGCAGCCAGGTTGACATCAGCTATGTTTATTTGACTTAAGGGTTTAGATAATCAAGAACCACAGCCCATGAAACTGTGACAGCCAAGCATCTCTAATGCAGTGTTATAACCTTTGGAGATTCCAAAGAAAGAAAGGATTTTACAGGAAAGAGTTTTGTTGGTTTTTTGCCAAAATGTAGTAATTTTTTTCAAAAAGTTCTTTTAGCAATATTCTTTTTAAACCCTAGAAGTCCCCTAAGTCTTGCCCTCTTCACAAGGTAGTCTTGTGAAGAGAACTTCTGCACTGTGTTGTTTTGTTCCCTGATCTTAACCACTTTAATAATAACTGAAAAACCATTTCTGGTTTTTCTACAGTGATGTGCTTTCGGTGAAAGAATTAATGAAAGTGAATATCTGGAAATGAAAGATTTGGTTTCATTTCCTTCTTCCTTAATCTTGCAAAGACTTTTATCCCTGTAAATCTCTGAATACTCAATCTACTAAAAGTACCCAGAGGGCCCAATTTCTTTTTTTAAAAAAATCCATCCATCTATTTCTGTCTTACCTGATTTATGTCTTTGAATAAATTCATAAAATTAGATTCCAGGGTTATGAAAGATGAGTAAAGTTGATTCTACACCCCTCGGGTCTGAACAGAATAATAAGTAGTACAGGTTTATGAAATTCAAAAAGTTTCTGTCATTTTAAAAAAGAAATATGCGGTATACTATCTGGCTGTTTAGATAACCCCTTCCTTGTATTAACTTTGAACACTGGATCACTGGAAGGAGTGGAAGGTTCTCAGACTTGCTTTCCTCTTGTGCTTGAATGAGCCTGTTGCAAGCCTCATGCAAAGGGAGTTTTTATTCTGCCAGAATCCACTTTTTAGAGATGGTTATTTTTCATTTTTCCAACTCAGTTACCTGACAGTCACATCCCCCAGTATGGTGAGGTTCATTAAAAGAAAATAGTTTTTCTCTAGTTTGAAAACTATTGTTTTCAATAGTTTGAGGCCATCACAGAACTGAGAAACTAGGAAAACCTTGACTTTTGCCCATTTCCTTTCCCTCCCACCACGTAGATCTCTGAAACATCCTTACCTAAAGCACCATGGTTCTGATGGTGGCAGCTCTGCCTACCTGACACTAGGAAGTTTTCTGGCTCATTGCTGAGCTGGGCCTGTCCTCCTGTCACCGAATTTATTTCTCTTAATCAGCCAAAGTAAGTTTTCAAAGATTATTACGTTCAAGTTCAGATGTATGGAATAAGAAAGGTTTCATAGTTTGGCTTTTCTGCATAACCCTCATATTATAGTTTTTTGGTTTTTTTGTTTTTGTTTTTTCTTTAAGTAAAGTATTTGACTAGAGGGGAGGGAATGAAGAAATAAAATCTACTTTGGCTTTTTATAAATATAAGGCCAATTTCCAGTTGGACCTGCAAAAAGTACCTAATTATATAATTTTTAAAAAATGTATTTTCTTTCTCAGCAATACTTAAAAAAAAATGGAGTGAGGGGAGAAAAACATCTTGGAGAAGGGGATTACTTAAAAGTTTAAGTATCTCACTATGAGAACCATTTTTCCTATTTTTCCTTTTTTTTAACAGCCCACCAAAAAATGGGGTTTTACTAAATCGTCTGATGAGTATACATCTAATTTCATTTCTGTTTACTTAATACCTTTAGGTTTGTTTTCAATACCTACTGAATATAAAACTAAAGGAAAAAAGTCAACGTAAATAATTTGAAATTAGATTAACATTTCAATAGGATTTTATGGACATTTTCTATCGATAATATATTCATTCCAGAAGTCAAGTGCATGGAAACGTGATTTAAAAAATAAAAGAATCATGCTTCCCTGTATTACAATATCAGTTATTTAATTATACAATAGTATCTTATATAATCAAAATTAGGTCAATTAAATTAAAGTAACTGGAGATTTTGGAATGGGGGTGTGTGAATAGTTGGAGCAGGTTATCTTTCCATCAGTTAGAAGGAGGTTGAAACTTCTAACTAGCTTTTTCTTAGTTTCTTATATTATTCATCTCTTGCTAGATCAGCTACACCATCCCAATTGCTTAGAGATCTCATATTGAGGCAACAAACAGGCAATCCCACATCTTCTCTTCTTTTTAAAGTATAAGTGTTGAATGGGGTGAAGTCAGGAGTCATTCAGTTCTCTACATGGGCTTGTACTTACAACCTGACCTTATGTGTGTGATCCCAGTTAGCCACAGGCCTCTTTACATAAAGAAATTCAAAATAACTACTGTAGTAAAAAGTAAACAAGCTTTGGCTGGGTTGGCTTAACACTGGAGAGAGCAAAATTTTGACTTTTTTATGGCCCAAAATCCTGTTGATAGCTACGGTGTTGCGACATGATTTGGGTATATGTAAGCCTGCAGAGCCTGCATCCTGTAAAACGTTTGGAGGTAGGTGATAAAAATGTCTTAAGGCAAGTACTTAACATGTGACATTTTATTACCAAGTCCTTCAAGAATGAAGCCTATGTGTGCTTTACAGTACAGGAAATATTAAAGAACCAAAAAAAAGGTAGAAAATATGGAATACACCTGACTTTTCAGCGTACAACCTTAAATTGATATGAGTGAGAGGAGAGATTGGTGCTTTTGCTAATGAATATCAATATTTATCTATCCTTTATCTCGGTATTGAAGTGTTATTTCTGCCAGTATTATAAATGCGGTTGACCCATCCTGTCAAATATAACAACACTTTGTATTCACATAAGTCTTTTGTGCTAACAAAAAAATTCCTTTTCGTTATCCCTTTACCTCAGTCCTACGTTTTGATCCTGTTGAGGATTATAGTTTGTCCTGAAAAACCAAACGTGGAGTAATCAAGTCCGATGACTTTGAAAGCTTCGAAAGCTTTCCTGAACCTGAGATTCAATCAAAAGGGCTTTGATAGCTTCAGACCAGGACATGGCCTTCAGATGGCTTATTCTCAGTAAAGTTTCATGTAACCTGTGACATTGTATACATGTAACTCACAACTTTGATGTGTTCTCAATACAGTTTAATCATATTTGTTACTAAATAGTTTCTTTGTGCAAGTGCAATTTTTATACTAAAAATAATGCTTATTTGTATTGCAATATATTATAAATTTATTATTTATATTCTCTGTAATAGTCTTCATTAATTGGCCCAATGATAATTATTTTTCTCTTTATCCATGTATTCTTTGCTTCCTCAAATAGCATCTGCAGCAACTGGAATGGAAAAGCAAGGTATGAGTTTCTAGCAGTACATTGCCTGAATTACAAAGCACTTTAATCAGAAAATTATACATAATCCTTGATCTAGTATGTTTTCTTTTTATGGTAAATTTCTATTTACCTCAAAACCTAATGATAGTGAAAACTAAGTAAAAACAAAAGTGTATTGCTTTTCATGTAAGTATTTTCACAAAAGTCATTTGCCTAGGCAGTTAAAAATATTACTTTGTTAAAAAGATCATTTTCCTCTGTGCCTGTCCTCCACCCAGTCTGTTCATTTTCCCTCTTTCTTTCTCGTCTTCTCGACTTGGTGAAACCCAAACTATGTGTCTTACCTGCTCTGGAAAGTACACAAAACCAATGAGGAACGAAAGATCAAAAGGACCTCTCCTTGTCACGGCCCATTGTCTTGTCTGTAGAAACTCGATGCACTTGCCTCTCAGGTCCCCCTCTGTCCTTAGGTCTGGGGGTGGCCAAGGCTGCAGCACGTGGCAAGTGAGACTGCGAATCCTTCAAGACACTAGACTGACCTGGTCCCGTAGGGTATTCAGAAGACTGGTCTACACCTATATAGCAGTGGAAAAGCACAAGGGATGGTGGTGACTTTCTAACACCCTTGGGGATTGAATAATAGAGATTAGATTTTTCACTTTTGAATAATAATAGGGGGATGTGTACTAAGAAAAAATTGACTAAACTTCCATACTGCCAAGTCCCTTCCTCAGAAACTGGCTCAGAATGCTTATTTGTCTATATAGCAAAAAATATCCAGTATGCAGTGTCTCAGCCTCCATGAACTTGGTTACTCATCCATGATGGGAACAAAACCTGTAGCTTTTGAAGTCAATGACACTGAATTGCAAAATGCAACCCCCTGCTTTGTCCCAGTCTTGAAGGCTCTTTGTAATATATTCCACAGTAACAAGAACTCTTTCTTAGAACATGTGAACTTCTTGAGGTTGATAACTATATTAGGCTAGACTAGACCGTGTTAACAGACTCCCAAATCTCAGGACCTTAGGAACAAAACTTTTATTGTTTCACTTAGCTCACATGCGGCATCTCAGGCAGTAGTGGCTCTGCTTCATGCAGGTTTTTCTGGGACCCAGGTCAAGGAAGGCTTTGCTTTCTCACGTGCTTTCTCACATCAAAGGCAGCTATAGTCATTTTCATCTCACCTAGTCAAAAGGGGAAAGTGAATGGAGGAGCATTCCTGGGAGATTGTAAAAGTAGGCTGTCAAGGGCACACATACATCACTTCTGTTCATATTTCCTATGAGAAGACTTAGTCACAGGGTCACACCTAACGAAAAGGGAGGTGGGAGTATGTCGTCTTGCCATGTGCTTAAGAACAAAGGGAGATTTGAGAGCTAACATCTAGCACAATGACTTCATCTTCCCTACTTTTGTAACTCGAGTGCCTCACAAAGAGTAAGCTGCTGAGAAATGTTAGTACGAATGCACACATGGCAGAAGAGGAAAGAACACATGGACCCAACACTGGTTGTCTTCCTTCTGGACTTTGCTGTAATTGGTCCTCAAGATTCCAAAGTTTTCAAATTGTGAGTGATATGTTCATGGGAAGATGGACATTAATAAGTAGAATAACAGTTACAAATGGGAAACTTCAGAGAGACTATGTGAATAAAAAAGGAACCTGATCTAGGCTGATGGTTTAGATGGTACATGTAACCAGGAGGGCAAGGTTAGGACTTGCTGAGGCAGAGATGGACTTGGGATCCCTCAGATGCACACAAGCAACCTTTAAGCTACACATGTGGAAAAATAGGACTAGTATTTATCTCAATGGGAGGTTCTTTGCGGAGCCATCGGTAGATTCTGGGCCTCACATTCCTTTTGATGGAGGCATTGTTTCTTACTAATCTTTGCATGAGTTTTATCTCTCATTTTAATATCTCTAAAATCAGTATAAATTGAAACCAGTAATTTATCGACTCTGTAAATCTCTCCAAGTGTGATTATAGTTAAGACATCTGATTAATCAAGTTAATCTAAAAATTATCCTTTGGAAAGATAATTCTTTGTGTTTTGTTGTCACTGGTGAGGTATATAACTCCTAAAATTATTTATTATTAGTTACTGGAGTAGAGACCATAGGATAAATCCAGAGCACATTTGTGCCCAAGGGACAAACTGCTAGGCTCACAAAATATAGAGCTGTCATTCTACAGAATTGTCCTTCAAACTCTAGCTCTCTGAAATTAATTCTAAGCATGAGTCTCAATCATTAGTAACCAGCAGGTTATGGGTTGACCATTGACTTTTAACTATTTGACTAATAACAATATTGTACAGAGTATTCCAAGACTTCATATCATTGACTGCTTCATAAATGGGAACCAGCTGTGCGCAAAGCCATATGATCGATCATACAATGGCATCAAGTCATTCGACCTTTCTTCAGACTGTTTATTCTACTGACTGGAAAAGTAAGAGCTGACTCCTAAAAGACCAAATTACTCTTTAAAACGGCACAAAATTGGGTGATTTCTTTTTCTTCTATAATGAATAGTATTGGCATTTGTTTTAAAACTGCAGGTTTGGACTCATGCTGTAGCAGAAAGATAAGCCCCCTGTCCTGTGAGTACAACACAATCCTAGTGACAGATTAAAATAGTGGCCTCAAGGAACAGTTAAACTTTTGACTATCCTTGAGCAAGGAGAACTGCCTAATTTATAATTTGTATATAACAATATACAAACAAAATGGTGATTTAGGGTAAACCCAAGTCAGGAGACATCTTAGTGTTTGTTGTTCCTAACAGGGTTAAATTGTTGGCTTTTTAGCAGGCCAATGATATGAGTCTACAAGGAGGACTTTAGCATTTCCAAAACTTAGTTGACAACAAATATTGTGGAACAGAAAAATCGAATACCCATCCGTTATAAAAACTAGAAATATTGGCTAAAATGTAACTGACACCATTTTAAAGGCAGAGCTGGCCACAAAAGAAAGAAAAGTTCACAAAGAGGCCAAAAACCATGAGGCAAAAAGCATGACCTAGGACTGGGACTGCCCCGGTGGTGGTGGTGGTGGTGGTAAAGAGCTGCTGTAACCAGAGAGTGTGCTTCAGGGATTCAGGGTCTTAACTATAGCAAAGTGAGAAGTTAAGAGCTGCTGCCCTAGGCAACCAGAGAGTGTGCTTCATTGGCCTCAGGGATAGGATTCAGGGTCTTAACTATAGCAAAGTGAGAAGTTGGAACTGAAACTACATAAAATTCCCAGCTCCATTCTCAGTGAAACCAAAAAAATCTGGTCACTAGCAAATGGAGACTATAAGAAAGCTCATCTGTCTTGGCCTTGTCTTTGTGCTGAAAAACAATAGACTTCCTTGAGAAATCATATGGCCCTGATCTTATACAAATTGAAATGTGAATTTACACTAGCTTCTTAGTCTTCAAACCGTGCAATTCTTATTAAAAAATGCTAATGGGAAGGTATACCAACAGAAGCAAACAGAACAAACTGCCATTGAAAATACTCATCTTGGCATAAATATTCCTATAGACAAAGCCCCACTAAAGATGAATTCACAACTCAAAATTACAAACTACATATGGAAACTATTCATCAGACAGCAGGATTAAGACTTGCCCTAATCCTTGAAATAATATTGTTAGATGAAAACTTCAAACTTTTAAAATATTAAAACATGAAAGAAGGAACATAAAATACATTAGAATCAGGTACTATATTCCTCAGAAAAACATTTCAGGTTGAGCCATGAGCATGCATCAGTAGTTCAATCCCTTCTATTAGTGTGTGGTATTTCAGTGCATAAATATATATATCCCATTGTTTATTCATTCTACAAAATGAATTGACAGACATGTAGAGTGTTTCCACTTCTTGGCTGGCCCTTTGACTCTTCTGATTATGAGACTTTCCGAGGAATACATTACTACTAATAATCTTTAGTAGAAATGCTAGAATGTTGTAAATATATTCCTTAGGACTTTCCAAGATTTGTTCTTGTACCACCAGAGAACAACACATATCACCCTTACAGGGAGCAGATGCTTGAGAAAACAGATATTGCAGCAGCACTTCCTGGGATTGAATCCCAGGTCTGCCACTTGCCAGTGGTGTTAATCAAGTTACTTAACTTCCCTGTGCCTCATCTTTACAGGAGAAGTAGCAAGGGATGTCTACATCTATTAATAAAGTTCTTGAAGTTATCAGAGTTTAAAAGATAACAAAGGATTACCAGGTTACCAGGATCTAGAGGAAATTGAAAGGTCAGGAATATGATCCTGGTGGCATTTGCTGTTTTTAGGAGCAGGTATGGAAAATGTTACAGAGCCTGAGTGATGCTTTTGAGAACTTTGTCTGGCTGAGGGTCCAAGGATTAGCTGAGGATGTGAGGGCCTATGACATGCCCATTTTGGGGGTTGGGTCTCTGAAAGGACTCACAGTAGGAATAAGGATGAACCGAAAGTATGCAGGCCCCCACAGCTCAGCCTTGATCTACTCATCTCCTGAAAACAAGATGATGTAATTCTGGAAGCAAATGTAAAGGCTGAGAGGAAGTAAATTGGTAATGATTGAGTTCTTCTTGAGTTGTGAGTTCTCTTGCTTTTTGTGCTTTGCTATGAGCTTTGCTATGAGGTAGAATTCCTGGGGTTCCTATAGCCCTGTGTTTGTGGATTGTTGCATTCAAAGGACCATAAGCTAACAATCAAAAGTAAACATTTCTTTATTTCTGTTTGTTTGTTTTTTTTTTAGTTCCCAAAGCAATCCCTTCTTCAAGCCAGCATTTACCCTCACCCCCCCACCCCTTATTCTTTAGTCTATCCCCGAAAAACTCTCTATGGTGTTCCCAAAGTGTGAACATTAATTACTATTTTCCCCCTTCATTTTTTCTTTTACCTCCCACCTCTCCATTTTTA